AGTGTCTATGAAATACGTTTTCCTCCTCCCTCCAGGCCTCCTACGTAGTTAGGACCTTTCAAGAACACTGGACATTGCCATATGCACATGAACACACTCAGATTTAATTTCTCAGATTCTCTGCTTGCTGGCTTCTAAAACTGTTGTAAGAACTGTTATCTGGCTTCATATGCTTGTGACAAGGCGGTGAAATGCTTTGAAAAGTGCCCATAGCTAAACAAACGTGAGGTACCGGCACTCGCAACTTTTCCCCAGGAGATGTGCACCTATATTTAGCGCGTAATGCCCCGACTATTTTCGTTGTTTTCTGTCCCCGCCGGCCTTCTGCCACGGACAGTTACAAACCTGGTCGATAATTATCCTGGGAGAACTCGAAGTCCCAGCTGAGAACGCAGGTCGGAGATCAGAGAGGCAGAAGGACCTTGGGGAGGAGCAGGGGCCGGGCATGACGTAGCACCTGCCAGGCCGCCGATTGGTGGAGGAGAAGGTTGTTCCCGCAGGACGGCTGCTGATTGGCTACGGGAGGCAGAGGCGTGACGTCCTTAGAAGTTGAGCAAACACCTCCTACTTCCCGGGCTTCCATCCCAATTTCTGCTAGGAATTCGGAGCCTCCCCTGCAGCGACTCAGAAGATCCGAGGCGGCGGGGGACAAGTCGGCGCCCCAGAGCGGACGAGGTGAGGAGAGGTCCCGGAGGAGAGCTGAGCAGACGGGCGGGTGGGCTTAGCCTATGAGATGCGCTGGCGCTGGAGATCGCGGGCCAGACTCGGGCTGTCGCTGGGAGGGGCCCGGGAGCCTGGCCTTTGGGTCCCGGTGCGGCGAGGCGACCCGGGCCGGGCCGAGAGAAGGGAGAAGGCTGCAACCATTCGGGCCTCCCTGCGAGGAATGGAGGGAGAGCGCAAACGCAGAGCGTTTCACTGCGAGGAAGGGAGGGAGAGCGGTCAGTGCAGCTCCAGCATTTCTAAGTAGAAAGGCGAGAGATTGCAATTCGGATTTCTTTTCTTTCTTTTTGGCGTATAGTGGTGGTGCTGTGGCTGGGGAATAAAGAACTGCTTAAGCTGTGGAAACAACGCCTTGTTACTTTTTGGACCGCGTGCTTAGAGGGGACTTCTGGCTGAGGGGCGGTGGATGGAAATTTCGGGGAGGTTCCTTTCCCCTTCCCTCCCCACACCCGGCGTAGCCAAACTCTGATCACAAACTTCTCTCCTTGTCCATCTCGGGCTGCCCACTCTCCGAGACAGAGACCCATTCTCCAGCAAGGATCGGAGACGGGCGGAAGTGGGCGCCTTGCAAGTCTGGGTTTCCTGAACTCCTAAGCGCCTGCGGGGCTGTGCGGACCGTTGTGAGCGCTCGCGCGGGAGGGGGCGCGGGGAGAAGCAGGTTACCCACCGTTGAGTGGGGCTGAATGTCTGTCTATCCTGACAGCTTCAGAAGAAGAAATGTGCTTTTCAGATACTGATTTCAGGGGAATGGGGGTGGGGGGAGCGGGAGAGAGAGAGAAAGAGCGCGCGCGCGAGAGGAAGAATGAGTTCAGTAACTTGAACAAGGATTAACATTTTTTGATGTTGTGGGTCATCAGTGGGGAAGGTGCAGCTGTGAGATGTAGTTATACACAGGACGAAAAGGCCCTTGACTGAAGGACTGCAGCTTTTCAATACTTTGTTTTAAAAACCCCAAAACACTGATGGCACTTTGGTGTTTCTAGGTTTGTGTATTTTGTCCCTTGCACTCCCCTCTTCTTTTTTTCCCACGAAGGTGAGTGAATCTAGGGCTACATGACTTGGCTGTGTAACCTGGTGGCCATTCTGCAAAGTGAGTTAGGTGGACAAAAATTGAAGCCAATTTACCAGAATCATTTTCCTGCTCTCCAGATAATCATATTTGTTATCAGTCTCACTTGTTAATGACGATGGCGTGATCAGAACTTTGGTTTATTTGTCACTGAATTTTTTTCTCACTAGTCCTTTAACAGACCTTGGTTCAGAATTTTGGAAATGATATTTGATGTGTAAGAAACCACCATTTAACAAAACATTTTCACTATTTTCATTTATACTTTTATTAATTTTCTCATAGAAATAACATTACAAACAGTGGTAAATTTTTTTAGGTAAGGCCACAAAAGATTCTATGCAATTCATGAAATGATGGAAACAAACATTTGGAATGGGAAATAACCCCCAAACATTATTACCACATTCACTTGATCTAAGGTGCCATTAATTGTAAGATGCATCCCTATATCATAGATGCTAAAACGTGTAAAAAAAATTGTCTTAAATTTGATGAAATACAACACTAAAATAGTAATTTATTTATCTTGAACATCCATGCCTAAAGTTTGAAATTGAAGAGAGGGCTTATTGGGCTCTAATTATTTTTTTTCAAAAATAATGTAAGGGTGGGGGATTAATATGGAGCCATCATGAAGGCCTTACTATGGTGTGACAGAGGAAAGAAATGTTAGCGGCGGTTGGGCTTGCTTTCGAGGAGTAGGCAAGACTGGAAGCTTTTTCTTTTCTTAAAATTTATTGTTTATGACACACAGCAATGCTCAGCACTTTATGCATACTAGCTCAATTAAACGTCACAAGAGCCCTAAGAGGTAGAGGTTCAGATGACTCTCATTTTGCACTTGATGCACAGACAGGTTAAGTTGCCAGTCAAGGTCACAGAGTAAGTTTGGCCGCCAAAGAACCCAGGAGAGAAACCAGTATTCCTTTGAGGTATCCATCTTCTGTTGCAGGCTCTTGGCTCCTGTTCCATGCTATTAATGCAGGTAGCGCAAGTGAATGTCCACTCTTTCTTGATTGTGTTTTTGGTATTTTGTTTCCCTGTTTGGTGTACTTTAGCTGGAAATTAATAAGTCAGAGTGCCTATTTATGTTCTACATTTCTAATGTTTTTGTCATTCACAGTGTCCAGTCACTACTATGCTTAATAGAATCAGAATATCGGAGCCCGAAAGGGACTTTAGTATTATATTTTAGTCTGGGCAAGGAAACTGAAGTTGAGAGAAGGAACCCTACATTTAGTTATGTGTCCCAGCTCCCATGTCTAAGTTTTCCCGCTACACTGTACTATATTTCATAACATTCGCTAATCTATGAGATCTTGGAAGAGAATAGAGAATTTTTTTTTAATTTTTTTTTTTTACAGGGTTGGGGGATGTGAGTCTCTTCTTATTCATGTGTCTATTTTGTTTGTTTGTTTTCTTGCTGCATAGGTCTTTATAATGTTTATTAAATTTGCTCATTCATTTATTCATTCTTTCTTAAAACACTTACTGTTTTCCCATGTGCCTGTCATTGGGAATACAGAGATGAGTAAAACACAATTCATACACATTTACGGTTTAGCAAAGAGACAGACAAGTAAGCAGATAAGCATTTTGGACTAGACTCCAATTTAGAACTAACTTTGTATTCCATTTCAGTGAAGCTAAAATTATGAGCTACAGACCAGGAGAAATATGTGTCATGCTTATGGATAACTTTGAGTAGGTGATGGGCTGGGGAAAGTATGAAAATTCTCAAACCACATTAATTAACACTAATAGACCTCCTCCCCCAAAGTCTACTATTTTCTTCTTAATCCGGTAAAGTATTTTATAAAAAGTTTAACATGGAAGCATTAAAAGAATGTACCCACGCACAGGAAGTGAAAGTATAGAGAGCAGTGTTAATGCAAGCCCAAGCTTAGTTCTAGCAAGCCTTGAAATGGAGAGGGATTTGGATTCCTTCTAGGCCATCAGCCGGTGCTCTGTTAATTCTGGAACTCTTTTTAACCTTTCCAAAATATATTATGGTTTTGATACCTAGTGTGGACCAAGACTCATAGCCATAGAGCTGCCACACTTATTTACAGACACCAAGGCTTCTTGAGAAACCATGAGTTTTAATATATACTTGTTTTTTTTTTTTTTAAGTTACTTGGAAGGGTGAATATAAATAATTAGTGCTGTTGATCCATGAACTTATTTTCTTCATCTAAAGACTACATTACTCCATTCTTAGTCTCAATATTTAATCACAATGTATGCCTGATTATTGCAAATAATTTGTCATTGAGAAATCCCCCGTGTGATTTGATAGTTTTGGTTTGAGTCACTGAATTATGCCGTAGTGAAGTTATTTTAAAGATCTAAAATAGATGGACAAAGAGCACTTTCCTAACTGTGGTGATTGAAGTTGGAACATTTGGCCTTAATTTCATCAGAAATGTATGTGTGATCCTTGATACATATACCAATAGAAGTGACAGGAATTAAGAGGAGCAATGAATGCTTAGTTCATTCTTTTTTTTTTTTTTGAAACGGAGTCTCGCTCTGTCGCCCAGGCTGGAGTGCAGTGGTGCAATCTCACTGCAAGCTATGCCTTCCGGTTCACGCCATTCTCCTGCCTCAGTCCTCCGAGTAGCTGGGACTACAGGCGCCCGCCACCGCACCCAGCTAATTTTTTGTATTTTTAATAGAGATGGGGTTTCACCATGGTCTCGATCTCTGACCTCGTGGTCCCTCCCCCTCGGCCCCCTAAAGTGCGAGAATTACAGCCATGAGCCACCACGCCCGGCCTCTTAGTTCATTCTTAAGTTCTTGTAATGCTTGTGCATTGTTTTGCTTAGGTAGGTGAACTGTAAGCTTAAAAAGTATTCTGAGTGGGTTGGTGCTATGGGAAGGGTTAAAGAGACTTAAAGAATTTTTGCTATTTGATGGAAGACTAAAAAGCTCTATGAGAATCTCAGCTCTCTTCATCTACCCACTTCTCTTATAAAAACTGCAAAAATTAAATACATCATTTGGTTTTTTCTTTCTTTGTTTGTTTGTTTTTGAGAAAGTCTCACTTTGTTTTCCAGGCTAGAGTGTAGTGGCATGATCTTCACTTACTGCAAACTCCGCCTTCAGGATTCAAGTGATTTTCATGCTTCAGCCTCCCGAGTAGCTGGGACTGCCAGCATGTGCCACCATGCCCAGCTAATTTTTCTATTTTTAGTAGAGATGGGGTTTTGCATATTGCCCACGCTGGTCTCGAACTCCTGCGGTGATCTGCCCACCCTGGCCTCCCAAAGTGCTGGCATTGTAGGCATAAGCCACTGTGCCTGGCCAAATACATCATTTTAAGGCATAAATACTGCCTGAAAAGTAGCAGAGAGAAAAATCTTGATTGAGTTACATTTAAAAAGTTACACCAATGAGAACAACAGAGTGTCTTATTGTGACATCCATTATGATAAGTCATTATAAAAATACATAATAGAGGCTTGGAAAATGCTTTCTATAAAACAGAAAAAAAAATCCCCTATTTCTATGGGCCTCACTATTCTTATTTGTTTTTTGTTTTGTTTTGTTTTTTGTTGAGATGGAGTCTCGCTCTGTCACCCAGGCTGGAGTGCAGTGGCCGGATCTCAGCTCACTGCAAGCTCCCCCTCCCGGGTTTACGCCATTCTCCTGCCTCAGCCTCCCAAGTAGCTGGGACTACAGGCGCCCGCCACCTCGCCCGGCTAGTTTTTTGTATTTTTTTTAGTAGAGACGGGGTTTCACTGTATTCACCAGGATGGTCTCGATCTCCTGACCTCGTGATCCGCCCGTCTCGGCCTCCCAAAGTGCTGGGATTACAGGCTTGAGCCACCGTGCCCAGCCCACTATTTTGTTTGTAATACAAGATTTTAGATTACATTCT